TAGTCGGTGATTCATCAGTGTTACGTGATATTCAGGTACTAAATGCATGTAAGTTAATACCTAAGTCTAGGACACTTACTGTTAGCATCGAAAGAAGCCAAATACCAGCGAGAAGTAAAAGACGATTCATCTTTACACGACGAAATGCGTTGACAATCAATGGTCGATAACAAGGTCATGGATCTCTTATGCATGTTTCGATGACGCGATGAGACAAGTATCTTGGTCCCAGCGGAAACTTGACACATGATAAGGATTTATTTTTAAATTCAGGAAGTAGTGGGGTTTTGAAAAAAAGGATGCATCGTTAAAATTTCTTTTCTTCCTAGGATAAATTTCATTTCTTTACTCATTCTTCTCGCTATATTTTTCTCTTTCCTTTTCCATCTTTCCGACCATGATATATTTCTTTCGACTTTCTTATGTTTTATTTATTGTTTCAGGGCTCGTTTAGTCATTTTTGAAATGATTTTTTTATCTACCTATTGTTTCTTGTTTTTGGTATCCTTGAGTGCTCAAATATGTTTATGAGAAGATAACAACGTTATCTATAATTATTTCGTTAGTTATTGACCTTTATATAATGCTTTAAAAAACTATGTTTATTCTCTAAAATCTACAATTGTTCACTGAAACAATGGTGAGGAAGCTATTGTCTTTGTTGCGAGATTCTTCCGATTGATATAATTTTTATCTCTGTTCAAAATTATACGATTCAAATATAGCAACCCAGTCAGAATTGTCCCGCAATCCAGTGACAGGGTCAACCCAAGAGTCTGGAGTGGAATGAGGCTCTGTTGTCGCGCCTAGTCTTTCTGTAAATAAGGGATTATTGTACATTACTAGCTTTTCATCAACTTTGCGAGAGCCATCTTGATTCCTATAACAAATTAAAAAAAGATGAGAAAGTCATTACTGAGTAAAGAACAAATGTCAGGATATATTTGAATGGGCTGTAAATCTTATGGCACTTTCATAATATCTGTGAAATTCAGTTTGATTTGCTATTAGATTACCCAACAAAAACCTTTCTTTTCTTGTGTATAATTAATGCAATTTCCCGAGTGTTTCAATGCGATCTATCACTTCACCCACATCCGACCCAGGTCATGGTCTTTCTTGATGTAAGCCAAGCCAGCCTATGCAGGCACCCAGTGATTGTTAGAAGATGGTAAGTATTCTTGTGACAATAGATCAAAATGAGATCAAATACAGTATCAGCTAGGTAGTGGATCATGCCGGAATCGGACACGCACCACCGGACTGGGAGATCGGATAAAACATCGTTTCTCTTCATTACCCAGAGTTACTTTCGGCCATGCACTCACCTTTCTTGAAATCTAGACAACTATTTCAGAAAACGCTGTATCCTATCTATATACTGCATAGTGCATTCCAAGACTGAAGTGCATTGTTGCCTACGTTAGATGTGTTATAATTCTAAACTTAATAGAATTCTGAAGCTGTTAAGTCAAATACCGTATAGGCAATGTCTAGTGGGATATGTTTGGAACAAAAAATGTCGTATTTTTTTGTTTGATCCAGAAACTGATCCCACAGTGCATTGCAAATCATGCAGGTGACGTAAAAGCTTCAGAAGTCTGTTGCTTTCCATAGACCTCTGCAGGTCCCACAGGCAATGCATTGAAAATCAAGTAGTGACGTAAAAGGTTCAGAAGTCTATTGACGGTGATGGTATAGCCACTCTGAAACATCAAGAACTCCTTTTGAACAGCGATAACGACCAATAATGACTATCGGTCTCGGAATACACTATCTTCAGTATTCAACGATATTAGCCTGCGTAGCGGCCCTTAATTAAGGGATTGGGGAGGGCCGAGCGGAGAATTTTTCCTCCCCACTCCCCGCTCGGCCGGGCCTCCCCAATCCCCTTAGGGCCGCTACGCAGGCTAAACGATATGTACATGTATGATGAATCCGACATTAAATCTCACCATGAAATTTCTTGTAAGTCGATAACGACATTGTCTTTCTGTACTTYACAGGCATTGTCGTCGTACTGAGACAATAGGTTTGGTATCCGACTTTGACGTTTTATCTGTGCATTATTTGGGTCCTCTCTGATAATGTCTGTGGCTCGTTCCATAGAACCTTGGGTAGTTGTGTTCTTGTACCTCAAGTACGGAAAAGGCTGAGCAGGTCGCTTGGTTTGTCTCCGGCTAAGATATAAACGATAATGCTCGATATAGTAAAAAAATTCGTTCATTCGTGCGCGAAGACTGATTCAACTTCGTGCATTATTTATTCAGTTAAGTAAAAAAGCGTTATCGTGGGAAAGTGTGTATGAATAATACCTCTTATCATATGACCCGTATTTCGGCCCTACGCGCGCTCTTACTGAAACTTTTGGAAAATGGTCACGTGATGGGGTCCGTACGCCTTTTCGCGACAGGTCCGTACAAACCCGTATTTTCCCGGCTTGAAGTTCCGCGCGCTTTTATTGATTTTTTTACATTAAAAAACGCTGTCATATGATAAAATGCTTATTGACTGAGTTAGGTCGGGCCGTACGGGAAAATATTTGGCTCTCGGTCATTTGTACGCTGTCATATGATAAAATGCTTATTGACTGAGTTAGGTCGGGCCGTACGGGAAAATATTTGGCTCTCGGTTATTCGTTTTYAAAACATTTTACATGATTTTAGTAAAACAGTTCTATAAACAAGACATTTCACAAGCATTGAGGGACGATTACTAGTAATCGTCATTCGCTTGTAAACATCACTCGATATTCGCTTGTAAACATCCCTCGGAAGAGAAATGAATCCGAGGTTATCATGGTATTACTTAAATAACAGTGAAGCCGATCTTGATAGTGCAAACCTTACTCACCTGCAGATAACAATAATCACACCCACTGTGACACAAATGAAAAGAAGGGATCCACCTAGAATAAGCGCAAGGGTAAGCTCACCCAGAGAGGATTTTGTCTTTGCTTGCATGTTTTCTTTCTTCTTTGGTGGTATTGGAGATGATGTTCTTAGTTCTGTTATAAATTCTGAAAACGACAGTTCGTATATTGTTAGTCGGGCCGACTTCTTTAGACAATCTATCGCGTCGCCTTTGTGCACCACAGGAAGCCAAAATGGTACAAATATACGTACATCGTCACGTTTAAAGTCCGACAATGAGGACTGGCCGGGATTTCAAGTCCACGCAATTAGTTCCGGAACTGATTGCAAGGACTTGAAATTTTGATTCATTGCATCTCCAGCCAGGATTTCAGTTTTTCATGATTTTGAATATACTAAAGCACCGATTGTTGTTCTCCAATTCCCGAACTGGTTTCTGAAACAAAACCTATTCAAATTGTCTTTGTCTGCTATTCATGGCATTCCTAATGAGCCTAATTCATAAGAGTTATAAGTATGTTATCTTCCGAGGAATCGCATCAGAAACTCGGTGGTATAGTGGTATAAGACGGCGCATATACACCTGTAGACTGGACTGTTCGGGATCGTTTCGTGAGGCAGTCATGTATCAAAGACTAAATTAATTCTATATTAAATTGATTATTTCTAATTTTTTTATTATTATTAGCCAGTAGTAGCTGGAAATAATGTAGAATTAATTGGAAACAAGGTAGAAGTAGCTGGAAATAAGGTAGAAATAATTGGAAATAAGGAAGAATACAAGGTAGGAGTTGCCAATTACTGCACGTGGTACAAATTACAATCAGGGATTGGCTTGGTACCTCATGAATTATTAATGAGTATGACAATGACTTTTCTAGCTTTATATAGATGTGTCTTGTATAGGCAAAGGTTTTAAATAAGAACAAGAAGAAACTTTGTTTAGAGTGGTTTTCATAAACCCGTGAAACAAAGTGTAATAATTAGAGTGTAATAGATCGTAATAATCGCGTAGAGACAATAAAAAACAAAAGAGCCAAAGTGTAATAGCGATAAATACGCTAAAGTGTGTTTCACGGGTTAATGAAAACCACTCTATCAATACCAAAAATTACTCTATAGGSATCTTTTATTTTGTAAATAAGGTAGAATACAAGGTGGGAGTACTTCCTCTGGTTTCCAAATACTGCACGTGGTACAAATTACAATCAGGGATTGTCTTGATACTTCATGAATAATTAATGAGTATGAGAATGCTTAAATTTATTGTAATTGCAATCYCTGCATCTTATCAACCAGTAAGAACATTGCACAATAAATGTTTAGAACAGCACTATACAAAGTACATTTTCGAATGTCATGCGTATTCTACCCGAAAAAAGGAGCATATCGTCAAGATAACCCTCRTATTACTCAATAACTGATTAAACAATTGTTCCTTACCATCCCTGCAGTTTGTCCCAGTCCACCCCGTAAGACAAACTTCCTGTCCAGTCAGAGGGTCACAAGTATAATGTCCCTTATCATCGTCACGTGGTACACAATGTACCGAGCAATTCAGTGAGTACCAGTTCTCTAAACATATAACATCTCCAGTATCACTGCACCGATAATGTCCTTGATCTTCATCTTGGCCCTTGCAGTACCTCAAGCATCTTGTCCCATACCAATGCTCTAGRCAGACGCGAGCACCATCATTTCTACAGTCATAGTACCCTAGAATGGAATTTTTTTGCGGTTTGCAGTAAAGTTTACAATCAGTTCCATACCATGATTGATGACAGACCTTGTTTCCATTGTCGTCACAGTCGTAATGCCCGAACCAATCGTTATCGCGAGGATTACAATAGACGGAACAATTCTCTCCATGCCAATCCTGAAAGCAAATTTTTTGTCCATTGTGCTGATTGCACGTGTAATGGCCCTCGTCGTCATTTTGAGGCTCGCATTTTACTGAGCAGTTCCCACCATACCAATTCCGAGCACAAATTATGGTGTTATTTACGGAACACTTTGTGGCCTGTCTGTTATTTGTTTCATTGCTTGACGCGCAGTAAATATCACACTCGTTTCCAAACCAGTTCGTCAAACACTCTTTAGCGCCATTTCTTGAGTTGCAGCTATAGTGACCAGTTGAGTCGTTTCTTGGAATGCAGAACMCATTGCAATGGCTGTTATACCATCCCTGATAGCAAATTCGTTCTCCTGTTGTCGCGTTGCATTCATAACCAGCCGTCGAGTCATTTCTTGGGCTACAATCACATTCGGGACCATACCATCCGGTTAAACAGTTTTTTTCTCCAGTTACTGAGTTACAAGTGTACCCTGATGTGGATTTGTTTCTAGGTGCACAAAATACGTCACAATGGTTCTTAGGGTACCAATCTACTAGACAGATCTTTTTACCGACGGAGTCACATGAGTATCCTGCCCGTGAATCATTGTGCGCCATACAGTATATTTTACAACTGGCACCATACCAGCCATTTAGACAAACCTGAAAAGGAAAATAGAGTTATGTCAAATGAGATGTAGTGTAGCCATTTGAAGACAGAAATATGGACAATGGAGCAATCTTCATTGAAATCTGCACATTTTGCTATCATTTGAAAAGTGGAAGCAAGTACTAAGCAATATAAAATTAAGAAAATACAATTTACATACTCTATGAATATATAAAAGTGTACTTGGGTTTCATCGGAATTTTTATTTTACTCGCATTAAWATTTGACATTCATATCCTTTTAGAGCATGTAAAGCTACATATTTTGACAAAAAGTTAGGATTGTAGAGCATTTGGTTGCGGAATTATTCGCAATCGAAGATACRCAAAATTTGGTAAAATTGTATTGGCGGAAATCCAGACGGTGGTCACGAYAGAAATTTTTGTTGACATATTTCGTCATAATACTCTTKCAGTCAGTGAAATGTGTCTATATGAGTCAAAGTTTTTAAAATGCACATCTTGGTTTTCATAGGTAAGTGACGGCATTGCGTGACAAAATTCAAGGCTTTAATGTCTTGAGAACCAAGAACTGTATACACTCATTTTGTTCTTACATCTTTATAATAACCATAGTTTTAAAATAAATAGTTTGCATCAGCATAGGATGCATATTAGAGAATATTTATTTTTGTGACGTCACATGAAACCCAAGATATATATGAAATGTCACCTTTTTTCCTGTGCTTTGATCACATGTGAAATGACCATGCATATCATTATCACTCGGAAAACATTTCGTAAGRCAATTTGCTCCAAACCAGCCAATTCTGCACACTTTGTCCCCTGTCTTAAGATCACAGGTATAGTGACCTCGTTCGTCGTCACGTGCCAAGCAATACTTAGTGCAACTCGATCCATAATAGTCTCTATTGCACTGTACACTGTATTGTAACTTTAAAGTACTTGGTATTCCCTAAAGCGAAAGATAACGATAACAACAACATCAATAACGAAAACGACTGGAAGAATTTTTAGAGCCGTTTTCATGTACCGTGAA